CTGCGAACAATCTCAGTGTTGTATTTGGACCAAATCTCACGTGGCCGACTGATCAGCAGGTAACGCTGTTAACATTTCTTTAGAAATGTAGGCATTTGAAATCTGTGCATTCCAGGTGCCTATAGCTCAGCTGAATAACTTGAATAATTTCTGCTATCGACTAATTATCGACTACGACAAAATTTTCAAGTAATATGCCTGACATCTTATTGAAATCTCCGGTATAATTGTAATAAGCCCTAATTTCTGCTTTTGTTTATAATGATAGCTCTCTGCACACATATACTTGTGTAAATTGCATTTGAATGCCTTCGTGAAGTTATCGGTTTAACAATGTCTTTGCTTCGTGGCTGTGTTGAAAATCGCCTTAGTGCGGTGTTGTCTTGTCGTTATAATGGTTGTGATATCTCCATCTGTAATAATTTATGCCAACGTGTGACCAAGTGCACCAGTTAACGAATACAGTGATTAGTAAAACTGTTTTTGATTGGAGAATCGCATTTTCCTTTGCTTAGCAAGAAAGATATTATTTTGGAATTGTTACGTTAACCAGATATCTTCAAAGTTATCAGCACTGACTTGTCTCATAATGGGGAATTATGAGAGCAGTTTAAGATGTCGTGAATGCGCGTATTATGGAGGAGTTATTGAGAAAAAGAGAGCTTCTCTTGCAAACAGATGAGAATAAATGACAAAAGAAATGTTCTGACAAGTCCATGAAAAGTATCTCCTCTGCTTGTAATGTCACTTTTAAGTTTTACATATTTAAAAATTAATCGCTACTTAGATTATGCGCTACTCAACAAAGTCGCTTATCTGCTTTTTCCTTAATTCATGAAAAGTACTTAGTCAAGTTACAAGTTTAGATATAGGTGAACCAAAACATCAAATTCAAGTTCGACTGGAGTTAGTAGCCGCACGCTCCACTCGGCAACTCTTCTAATTGAATGTGAAGACTTGTGGAAAGTTTCATAAAGTTGAGGATAATTTTTTGTCATCATTCATTCATAAGCTGAGTTTCTAACTTGAAAGTTTCTGTTTCGAAAAGGCACATCATTTGATGTTTGTGTAGCGTACTGAAAAGTTAAAGTTAAGAAAAAGAAAAGCAAACGTTCAACTTGAAGACAATTCTGTGAACAAAGTTCAAATCTATTTTAAGCGAATAATTTGACTGTAGCTTGTAGCGACTCTCGCGTAAGAATCTCTTTCTATTGCTCATAGTTCTGCGCTCCTTTCCCTCCTAAGTGAAATGAGATATTTCGTGACCTTAGAGATAATGTATGTTCTATTCAACGGCACAGACACTGAAATGTGAGAGCGTTAAGGCATCTTTGAGGTACGATCTGATTGATTTTTTTTGGAAAATATCAAACCATCCTTGGGTGAGGGCTCCCCTACAGATAGGAGAATTTTTGACATCAAACCTTTTATGGAGTTTTGGTGCGCAAAACACGGATAAACATTAGGTTGTATGAATTAGTAAAATAACGTTTTCCGGGCTATCCGAACCATAGGTTAGATAAA